AAAATTGTGTTCTTGTAGGATCTGGAGGGACTGGCAGGTAGCTTCAAGGCTGTAAAACAGGGATCTTGGCCCATTTCAATCATTTAATTGCAACAGCCCATAAAACATTTGGCAGGGATGATTGAAGTAGATCTGTTTTTTCACACTATAAGTTGAGTAATCAAAGCAGCATTGTGAATTCTGTCCTAATACAACACGTTTACTCTTCTGTTTAGTCACATGTATTGATTAGACTGTAAAGAGAGACACCAAGCACAAATCCAGAGTACGACTGCAGGACAGTACTACCATTTGGTTAGTCAATAAAGGGAAGGTGATTCGTGTACTGGTTAAGGTGGGTTTGAAAGGTTCACTGCTTCCTTCAGAATCCCTACCTAGCTCTTGCTTGCCCTGTGAATGCTGCAAATCCAATTAGGTAGACTGATATTTTTCTCATGTGTGGAAATGCTTGTCAATACTATACACAGCTTAGATCCAGACTATCTGAATGTCCCTATCTTTCCATATGAGCCTGTCCAAGACTTGCAATTTTGGAAAAGGTTTTCCTCTCTGTCCCACCACCTTCAAAGGCTTGTGAGGTGAGGACATGGCAGAGAACCTTCTTCCTAGCTGTTCCTTGGCTATGGAACATACTCCAAAGGAGATTTAATAGTCTATCCTTTCACCACCATGCAAAGCTCTTCTTATTCTTTTCCTTTTAAGGTGGCTGGAATAGAAGGATGTCGAATGGGGATGTTGCTTTCTATATGTAATATGAAGTTAATGCCCCCTCCTCCCAAATAGTGTTTTGATTGGACCGATCAAATGTGCACCACATACTATTTAGTAGGGCTGGGCGGTTTTGTTCATTAATTTCGTAATTCGTTATTGATTCGTATTTAAATTAGCTTACAATCCGATATTGAGCCATGCAGGAGTAATTAAAAATCGAAACAATTTTTTCAATTAATTTCGTAATTGTTTCGTAATTGTTTCAAAATTGTTTCGAAATTGTTTCAAAATTGTTTCAAAATTGTTTCGAAATTGTTTCGAAATTATTTCCGTATGTCTGGTGCAAGTTTTATAGTTGTTGTTTGTTTTATCAGTGATAAAAAATAAATTATCACACCAACAGTCAACAACAGAGGGAGAGGGAAGCTTCAGAAGTTCCCCCTGTCCCATTTGGAGGGTTTTTTTAGCATATTGCGCAATCGCGTCTGCCATTAACAAATCGATTCGAAATTAACGAAATTTCATAAATAACGAAATTTTGAAATCTCAAAATTTCGGAAGTATTTAGAATTTGGAAACGCTAGCGTCCCCGGGAAACGAATCGAGTTTAGAAACAATTTTTTCCGTGGTTACCCAGCCCTACTATTTAGCTATTTTGAATTTCTGTTTTATAATCTGGTTTAGGTTCAATATTGGGAGAAAAGCAGGGTAAGACATAAAGCTATACAAACAACTGAAAAGGGGATGTCTCCCATCCTGGTTCCACAGTCATGCTTCAGTTACAAAGTAAGATACCAGGTATGTTTTAAAATCAAATCTTTATTTCTCCTGAACCTTCCACTCTATCATGTTGAATGTCTTCATGAATTCCAGAGTTTCACAGCTATTCTTGTTTTAGGCACCTAGGTAGATTTTCTACAATTGTTTGTAAAGGCACAGATTTTCCTTCCTGTGTTTTCCTTCTTGCATTTTCTGTGCAATAATAATAATAATAATAATAATAATAATAAACAAATAACAAACAAATAAATAAATACAATAGAAAAGAATCGTTGTCTCCAAAGAACACCTCCTGGATTTTTGTGTAAATGAATTTCCCAGTAATGTCCACAAGGACAAATAGTAATTGGAAACTGTGCAGAAACCCTCACATTCTTATGGAACAAGGTGAAATTTTCTGAATTTTTTGTTTCCATATGCGAGCAAGCTGTAATGGACAATATGATTCCTTTATACTTCTGATGAAGATGTATCAGTGTTGGATCCAAGTTCTGGATGAACTTTAAGCAGAATTTTCTCTCATTAGTACTCATGTTCATTTTCAATCTTTCTTATAACCAGTTGCCTGTAGCCTGATCAGAGCCATCTATCAAAGCAATAGCAAAGATGTGCAGAGACTATGGTTTATTGTTCTTGTTCCTTAAAAATGAAGAAGCAAACTGGTAGCAACAGCTAGTTGGGGCTTAAGCAGGATTAGATGACTCTGGGGACTGCTAGTTGGACACCATGGTTCAATGAGATGAGATGTGTAGGTTGGTGAGGCCAGCATTCTTGGCAAAGAAGGCCAAGGACCTTGTAAAACTATGACTCCAATGATTCCATAGCATTGAGCCCCAGCAAGTGGTTTCAAACTTCATTACTACTACAGATTTGAAGCACACTGAGCTACAAAAATGAGAGGTGCCCAACCATGCTTATCTAAGATGCTGGCTCCATTTTGTGTATCATTTTTTTGCAGCAAACCACATTCTCCCCTCCCTGAAGAACTTTTGTCTGTATCTGTTGGCAAAGTCAATCAGAGAGACTCGAATATTTCAGGATAATTTTTACAATGTCAATGCAACAATACTGGGAACTCAATCTGTCAGATTGCAGAAGCTCTACTTAAAAAAAGAATAATAATTTCCTTACAGCAAAATGTGAAGTTTGTTAAAAGAGAAGGCGAGGAAGAAGAATGTTTGTTGGATAATGATTATTTGAGGTACTGTGGATAGAGTAAGGACCATATAGCATTATAGGGATCTCTGATGGCAAGAAGGATTTGTAGCCACTGAAAATCCGACCTGCACACTTTATAGCACCAAGGATCTTAGCACACAAATCTCTTCAAGTCAAGGGTTTTCTTATACACAAGCAGCTTCATTAAAGCAGACTGTTCCTTAAATATTGGGAAAATTTCAGCATATGCAATTCCACTGAGAGTGGAGATCTCTGCCTAATCCACTATGTTGTACAATCCCAATATTAATGACCTCCTTGAGGGTATTAAATTCCGATGGCGGTTTGAATTTTAAGTGTTTTTCTCGATAGCCATGAGACCCATGATTCCTTTTTAATGTGAAAACTGGAAGTCCTGGGGCTCTTTTGACAGATGTGCCAGATTAGCTGCTGGAATCCAGCTACCTTACTTTCTGGTAGTAAATGTTGGTTACAGGGTAAACAAACATCACATATACTCAAAGCAACACATCTATTTAAACTTCACAATCGAAGAAATGTGGTGGTTGCAAATAATGACTGATATGAAGTCACCTAAATGGAAACTTTGGATTCAATATGAGAAAATGTGACTCACTAGAAGACACAGTGGTTGAGAAGGTGGGAGGCATTTGGAGAAAAGGGGGACTTAAATTCAGTGACTATACTCAATCAAGGAAGATGTGTCCAAAGTTTCAATGAGAGGCTGAAGCTCTCTTAACATAGTGAGGTTGGTGGGGACGAGGAGCAGGGCCTTCTCAGTGGTGGCCCCTTACCTGTGGAACTCACTCCTGGGGGAAATTAGGGCATCAACATCCCTCCTCTCCTTCAGGAGGAAGGTAAAGACGTGGTTGTGTGACCAGGCCTTTGGGCAACCTGACAACTAGATAAGGACAACCAGACGGATAGGACTTACAGGACTGACAATTGTGGAATTGGAATTTGAACTATGAGATAGCGAACACTGACCGTCAATGAGGAGAAAATGGTTTGTATTGGTTTTATAGTTGTAATGCAAGAATTGTTGTTTTCTGCTAATTGATGTTATTTTGTCTTATTGCTGTTATGTGATGCGGGCATCAAATTGTGCCTTGCTTTTGTAAGCCGCCCTGAGTTCCCTTCGGGGTGAGAAGGGTGGGATAGAAGTAACCGAAATAAATAAATAAATAAATAGAGAAAACCAAAGTGGTCTTCCAGCAGGCACCAGCCAATCCCTCTGCAATGCTAGAAAAACAGCTTAATGGTGTAACATTAGAAAATATTGACTATTTCTGCTACCTTGGCAGCCACCTCTCCACAAAAGTCAACATTGACACTGTAATACAACACCACCCAAGCTCTGTGAGTGCAGCATTTTCCCAAATGAAGCAAAGAGTGTTTGAGGCCCAGGACATCCATAGGGAAACCAAGGTGCTTGTTTATAAAGTTATTGTCCTTCCAACTCTGCTATACATCTGTGAAACGTGGACTGTCTACAGATGTCACACTCAACTCCTGGAATGATTCCATCAGCTTTGCCTCCAAAAAATCCTGCAATTATCTTGGGAAGGCAGGTGGACAAATGTCAGCATGCTGGAAGAAGTCAAGACCACCAGCACTGAAGCGATGTTCCTACACCATCAACTCTGCTGGACTGGCCACGTTGTCTGAATGACCGATCACCATCTCCCAAAGCAGTTATTATACTCCCAACTCAAAAACGGAAAACATAATTTTGGTGGATAGGAAAAGAGATTTAAAGATGGGCTTAAAGACAACCTTAAAAACTGTGGTATCGACACTAAGAACTGGGAAGCCCTGGCCCTTGGGTGCTCTAACTGGAGGTCGGATGTGAGCAGCAGTGCTACAGAATTCAATGAGGCACAAATGGAGGGCAAAAGGGATAAACATTCCAAGAGGAAGACGCATCAAGCCAACCCTGACCGGGACCGCCTTCCACCTGGAAACCAATGTCCTCACTGTGGGAGAACATGCGGATCAAGAATAGGGCTCCACAGCCACCTATGGGCCCACCGCCAAGATACTATACTTGGAGGATCATCATCCTCTGGCTATGAGGGATCAACGTAAGTAATTCATAACTTTGAAAAACCCAACAGGGCTGCTGCTGACAATGTGATTTGAAGGTCTCTCATTCAAGTCAACATTCAGAAGTCAAAGTTGATTTGCTGGCAGTTAAAAACAACAAAATGGAAACTCTCCTATCTGCTACCATCCGATTTTTTTTAATTTTGTAGAGTATTTTGCAAAAGCTCAGCTTCTATTACAGAGTTTGAAGTCACGTTAATACCTTTCCTGGGTTTTAAACTCACCCTTGCACTTTGGCCAGCAATAAGCTGATCATCTTCGGTCTGAACGCTCGTCCGGCTGCGAACATCATAATCTTCTTGCTCAAAGTCAGAATCATCTTCTAGCTCTTCGGGAGTCTGGGTTTTAAAAAGACAAAGAAAGGAAAGAAGAGAAGGCAAACTTACAAAAGGAGCAGACAAATCCCACCAATAACTAAGTTCCCATTTCATCAACTACCTGCCCAGAGAACTCAGTTTCATCTTCACTTTAAATTAACTTGCCTGAAAAGGCAGGCAGGATCCCAAATTGAATTGTCTGGGGGGAAAAATGAAGGTGTACCAACCGGGTTCTTTTACAAGTGGCATTCATCATCACCTTACTGTGATTTCTCTTAACTCCGTTAACGGAGTGAACATACATTGTGCAAACTCACACCCATAGGATATGTTTTTACCCCCCTGGAATGTGATATTTCAAAATAATTGCATTTGGTCTTGGGAAAAAGGAAGACCAATAATATTATGGTACCAAAGTGATTGCAAAATCTTTCAAGAGATTAAGGAAGCATCTGAGGAAAAGGCACCTTCAGCAGGGAGCTGCAAAAAACACCTACTCCTTCAACTGAAATGTAAATTGGACACATTCTTGAGGAGTAAGTTATTTATTTATTACTAAACGGGTCAAAAGCATTTGGTGATGGAACAAACTCTTCATGGTGAGGCTGCACAAAAGATAGCAATATCAGATATTGCTGATTTTGTGCTGGTCACAGTCTTCCTTCCCTGCATTCCCCAAGATCTTTTCTGGGCCCCAAACATGGAGATGACCGCTATCTCAAAGGGAGAGATGCATCAGAGCAGATAGAATATGGCAAAAGCATTTGCTAGTGGTGTCTTTCTTTGTGTGTTTGCACCTGTGTCAAATGATATACAGCCACAGGATATTAGGGGTAAAAATAGAATCCAGAAAGCTCTCTTCCAAGGGAAAGGGGGATTTGATTAGTGAGATAGCTTTGTGTTGTTTTCATAGTCCACTGGAGGACAAATATCCCTTTTCCCCAATGCAAGCCTTTTGCTTTGCTCTTCTTGCTGTTCTGCCTTTAACTCCCACATGGAATCAGCAGGAGTTCTGCTGCACACATTAGAAGAAAACAGTCAAGGTAACCTTATTCTAACAAGGGGGTGGGGGAAACATAGCTCTCTTATCTGTAATGCATTCATTGTTCGCTTCCCTGTATAGAGACAAGCTGTGCTATGTGCTTTGAGGGCCCATTGAGTGGCTACTGAAGACCAAAGGATTGCAAGATTCAAAGGAATACAGGGTCTCTGACACTGTGCATTCCTTTCCTATCTTCTCCTCAATCTTGCGCAGACAGTAGGAACGCCACCCGTTAGCAACAAAAAGAGAGCAGTCCATTTGATATTCCTGCTGCAACCAAACAACTAAAATTACAGCAACAGGGGAAATGAGTGATACTCTCTGTGGATAGTATTAATATATTTATAATATCACCTTGTTTATTATAACTTGTGTATACAGATGTGGAACTTTTCACCACCAGAGGTTTTGGATGACTGTTGTCATTAGTCCTATTCCAAATGTTTTCTATCTCACGTCATAGAATCATAGAGTTGGAAGAGACCTCGTGGGCCATCTAGTCCAACTCCCTGCCAAGAAGCAGGAAAATTGCATACAAAGCATGCCTGATAGATGGCCATGCAGCCTCTGTTTAAAAGCCTCCAAAGAAGGAGCCTCCACCACACTCCAGGGCATTGAGTTCCACTGCTGAACGGCTCTCACAGTTAGGAAATTCTTCATAATGTTCAGATGGAATCTCCTTCCAATCACCCCTGTCAGAGACCCTTTCTCTACTGCTTTATATATGAGGGGTATTTTTTAAGTAAGGTCCGTTTTGTTGTAGACACTAGTAGTTTGCGCGCATACCGCAACGAGCGCGTGCGAAGTCTACCGGCATGCCTCGGGAACAACTGTACTCAGTTTACGCTCTGTAGCTAACCTGTACGGTTCTGTTCTGTGCTTTAAAAATGTTTAAGACTATCAACTCACCCTCCACATGTGAGGTTCGCTCAGTGATATGGTATTTGCCAGCAAGGAACCTGCCTGCTGCAGAAATTCATCGACAGATTTGTGAAGTGTAAGGTGATACTGTTATGAGTGAAAGCAAAGTGTGTAAGTGGGTACGACAATTCAAAGATGGCCGTGACAACGTCCATGATGAAGACCACTCCGGTCGCCCTTCTTTGATTACAGTGAACTCTTGTTTATCGAAGCAGGTGGCAAGTTTTTATAAAGAGGTTATTTTAAAATTGGTTCAGAGGTATGATAAGTATTTGAACAAACTTGGCAACTATGTCGAAAAATAGAGTGAAGTATGTACTTTCCGAAAATAAATTTACTTTTTGGAAATAAACTTTCGTTGTGTGCTTATGTTCAAATGGACCTTACTTAAAAAAATACCCCTCGTATAATCCAGCGAACTGCAATAAACAGGATTATATGATTTTACACTGCCATATAATTCAGTACAATACAGAGTCTGCATTCTGAAACTGGACTGAATGGCAGTGTAGAAGACCAATGTTAAGGATTTAGGAGAGATGAAAGACCAAACTATTTTGAAGGCTAAAGGCTCTCCTCTATGTAGGAACTCGAAGACTGAGATCAGAATCAAGAGGTCCTCAGATTTGTCTTTCTTTCCTTATGAACTTCATAGGCTTATAGGTGCATCTACACTACAGAATGAATGAAACACTATTTTAACTGCTATAATTCAATGTTATGGAAATCTTTGGCAAAGCAGCAGCACTCTTTGTCAGAGAAGGCTAAAGACCTTGTAAAGCTACAGTTCCCAAGACTCCAAAGCATTTAGCCACTGCAGTTAAAGTGGTATCAAACTGCATTTACAGTGTAGATGCAGCCTAAGAGCATGGCACCCTAGTGTCATGTTGGTTGGTAGAATCATGCAGCCGACGGGGAAGCCCAGGCTTAAAGAACAACAACCCATATACTGTGGGAAAAGAGGGTGGCTTTCCCCCCTTCTCACTTTTTTCAAACTCAAGTGTGGCTGCTCATGAAATTCCAGCTCTATTTCATTTTCTGTAGAATTTTCTCCAGGTCAGACAAGCCAGTGACCTGGATGCCCACCATCATAGCATTTGGCATGGCTCATTTCCTTCAATACCGTGAAACAATCTGTCATCCTGTACTGACCGTGCACCACCCTATGATCTACTGGTGGCAAATTCCCCTTAGCATTCAGCCAATTCCTTTATGAAAGTGAGCACAGAACACTAAAGTTTGGAGCCATGGCAGTTAAAGTGCCAGTTTCTAAAAGTATCAGAAGTTTCTAACATAGAGACACAGAATCAAAGTTCACCAAGGAGAGATGAGAAATATTAAGGGACAACCAAAGCTCTGGCTATCAGCAGTGACAGCCATACAAAAGGAAAACCTTAACCTGGAAATTACTGACTTGGAATCATACAATCAAAGAGTTGGAAGAGACCTAATGGGCCATCCAGTCCAACCCCATCCTGCCAAGAAGCAGAAATATTGCATTAAAAATCACCCCTGACAGATGGACATCCAGCCTCTGTTTAAAAGCTTCCAAAGAAGGAGCCTCCACCACACTCCGGGGCAGAGAGTTCCACTGCTGAACGGCTCTCACAGTCAGGAAGTTCTTCCTCGTGTTCAGATGGAATCTCCTCTCTTGTAGTTTGAAACCATTGTTCCACATCCTTGTCTCCAAGGAAACAGAAAACAAGCTTGCTCTCTCCTCCCTGTGGCTTCCTCTCACATATTTATAAATGGTTATCATATCTCCTCTCAGCCTTCTCTTCTTCAGGCTAAACATGCCCAGCTCCTTAAGCCGCTCCTCATAGGGCTTGGTTCTCCAGACCCTTGATCATTTTAGTCACCCTCCTCTGGACACATCCCAGCTTGTCAATATCTCTCTTGAATTGTGGTGCCCAGAATTGGACACAATATTCCAGGTGTGGTCTAACCAGAGAGGAATAGAGGGGTAGCATGACTTCCCTAGATCTAGACACTAGGCTCCTCTTGATGCAGGCAAAAATCCCATTGCCTTTTTTTTGCCGCCACATCACACTGTTGGCTCATGTTTAACTTGTTGTCCACAAGGACTCCAAGGTCTTTTTCACACGTACTACTCTCGAGCCAGGCATTGTCCACCATTCTGTATCTTTGCATTTCATTTTTTCTGCCAAAGTGGAGTATCTTGCATTTGTCTCCATTGAACTTCATTTTGTTAGTTTTGGCCCATCATCTCTCTAATCTGTCAAGATCGTTTTGAATCCTGTTCCTGTCCTCTGGAGTATTGGCTATCCCTCCCAATTTGGTGTCAACTGCAAACTTGATGATCCTTCTAGCCCTTCATCTAAATCATTAGACTTGTTGTAGTTTGGTGGCTATTCATTTTCTTGTATACTCCCCGCCCCAAGTTCCTTCCCTGGTATTATCATAGGTTCAGGATGTGGAGAAAGACACATTTCTCCTGCTCTAGGATTGCTCATGTTCTAGGATTGCTCATACCCCCTTGCTAACGGTTGCTCATACTAGCACTTTATTCTTGCCTAGCTTTAGGCCTACTTAGGTTTTGGGGATGATTGAATGTTTGTATTTTGAGAGCAAGCACCACTTGAGGCTTCCATTGTCACTGTTTCCTCACAGCTCTCAAGATTCAATACACATTGGGTAAACCACTCAGCCAGGAATACTTCAGAACACTATTCCAGTTGTGTATGAATGAAGAAATAGTGTAGCAGTGGGACATCATATGAGCAGATTGTGATAGCATCACAAACTACTTCTCAGGTTGATGCTAGCCAAGTTCTCTCCACCAGCTCTTTTCTCTCCCTGAACAGTTCACTTTACACATGGATCAGAGTGGAAAGCAAATACACAAAGCTCCAGGAAATGGGTTTACTGATCTGGAGGCACTGGATTCCAGTGGTCTATTTTGACCATGACATACAAACCGGACCAGAGTGTGGTGATGTGGTTTGAATGTTGGACTAGGACACTAAGAAACTAGGGCTCAAATCTCTGCTTAGCCATGGAGAACAACTGGGATACCTTGGGAAAGTACAATTATTAA